GATCCCCGACAGGAATCAATGCTGGGACACGAAACGAAACCGCAGTTGTGGGTCGCCGCTTCCACATCAAGGGCGCCCTTGCGTCCTGCGATTCGCGTCCCAAGTCCTCTGCAGTCCTGTGACAGTGGGGCCCTCGGAAGGGTCTTATGTCCTCTGGCGCGTCCTGTCCAACTAATTGTTATTCGGGGGGTCACCTGCCCTTTTGATAGGGTTTTCGGCAGTTTTCGGAGGTTTTCTGGGCTCGGAGCGCTTCCTTCAGCTGCACCTCGACGAGGGCGTTCTGGGGATGCCAGAGTCGTCTAGATCGGCCACCAGACACCCGACTTGTGACCTCCTCGCGTCGTGGCAAAAGTTGTCAGTGCTCGTCTTCGCCGGTTGAGTCGGGGCCCACGTGCAGCCAATCTTAAGTCGGACCTGTCCCTCTACAGGAGGAATCTTCAAACATAGTCAAACAATACGTAGCACCCCGCAACTGCGGATAAGAGTGAGGGGGCGGGCGCGGGCGACGCGGGCGTCGTCGAGCCGGCGGACCTCGTGGCCCCCACCTTCCTTGTCGATGGTGCTCTCCTCCTCCTCCTCCTCCTCCTCCTCCTCCTCCTCCTCCTCGTCCTCGTCCTCGTCCTCATCCTCGTCCTCCTCCACCTCGGCCTCCTCCTCCCCCTCTTCTTCCTCTTCCTCCCTCTCCCCCCCTCGTCCTTTCATCATCGTCCTCCCATTGTCGTCCTCCCCCTCATCGGCCTCCATCATCGTCCTCCCATTGTCGTCCATCATCATCATCCTTCCCCTCCTCCCCCTCGTCCACCTCCTCCCCCTCCTCCCCCTCCTCCCCCTCCTCGTCCTCCTGCTCCTCCTCCTTTTCTTTCTCAACATTATCCTTACATCCTCTTTTCTTTCTTCCGCGTCCTCCTCGTCCCCTGTTTACTCCTCCTGCCTCCCCCTCCTGTCCCAAGATAACTGCAACACAATCCTGTGTTCCACTTTATGCTCCCCGGCTTCTCTGATCAAGGCAACTCGCCAGGGCAAAGTTGCTGGACGGGCTGGTGTGGATGCGCGGGGCTGGAAGAGGTCTTTGCGGGCTCAGACGGCATGCAAAAATCTGCCGCCGCGCTTGTGCGGCATTGGTTTGTTCAGTGCACGTGGTTTGGATCGCGGGTGGGTCGCGGGTTCTCCACCTCCACCTGGAAGGAATGCAAAAGCAGCCCGCCGCAGGCGCCAAAACAATTGGTTTGTACACTGAACGTGGTTTGGGTTCTCCACTGGGAACGAATGCAAAAGATGCCCGCCGCAGGCGCCGAAAAATGTGGTTTGTACACTGAACGCGGTCGCGGGTGGGCCGCGGGCTCTCCACGTGAAACGAATGCAAAAGATGCCCGCCGCAGGCGCCGAAAAATGTGGCTTGTACCCTGAACGTGGTTTGGGTCGCGGGTTGGTCGCAATTTTGGTCACGGGGTAGGTCGCGAGCTCTCCACCTGGAAGGGATGCAAAAAAACCCGCCGCAGGCGCCGAAAAATGTGGTTTGTACCTTGAACGTGGTTTGGGTCGAAGGTGGGTCGCGGGTGGGTCGCGGGGTGGGTCGCGGGTGGGTCGCGGGTGGGTCGCGGGTGGGTCGCGGGTGGGTCGGGTGGGTGGGCCGCGGGCGGGTCGCGGGGTGGGTCGCGGGTGGGTCGCGCGGGGTGGGTCGCGCGGGTGGGTCGCGGGGTGGGCCGCGGGGTGGGTCGCGGGGTGGGTCGTGGTGGGTCGGGTGGGTCGCGGGTGGGTCGCGGGGTGGTCGCGGGTGGGTCGCGGGTGGGGCGGGTGGGTCGTGGGTGGGTCGCGGGTGGGTCGCGGGGTGGGCCGCGGGGTGGCGCCACGGCAGGGCCCGCGGGGGTGGGTCGCGGGGTGGGGTCGCGGGCGTGGGTTCGCGGGGGTGGGTCGGGGGTGGGTGCGGGGATGGCGTCGCGGGGGGTGGGTCGCGGGTGGGTCGAGTGGTGGGTGGTCGCGGGTGGGTCGCGGCGTGTGGGGTCGCGGGGCTGGGGTGGGTCGCGGGTGGGTCGCGGGGCGGGTTGCGGGTGGGACGACGACAACAAACAACAACAACAAACAACAACAACAAACAACAACAAACAACAACAAACAACAACAACAACAACAGCAACAACAACCAACAGCAGCAACAACAACAACGAGAATCCGCACCGCGGAATTCCACTTCAGTCACGCACCCAGGGACAGTGAATGACCGTTCGGCCCCCTCGTTCTGATTATGGGGACGTTTTTCTCTTAGCTTTTGTTTGATCATGTGGGAGTATGTTTAGTGTATGTTTAATGGTTCGTTCAAGATCCTCCTGTAGGGGGACATGCCCGACCTAAGCCAATCCCTTCGAGATACTGTGGCCGGCTGGCTGGCCCGGGTTTGGGAGCCGACTGCAGCCGCCTCCTCCCTCTCCTCCCTCCGCCGCCGACCCGGCTTAGCGGCTTGCACGTCCCCGACGGCCGATTCGAGGATCGATCAAGCATCGAGGTGTTTGGGCGTCCTCTGACCTCCTCCGCCTCCTCTCAGGAGGGAAAAAAACCCAGACACAATGAATCGTCGATTCCCCAGAAAATATAGGAAAATATGGGAAGTGGGGGGACGACAAAAACCCAGAAAATAGGAATGGAGATGGGGAATCCTTTTATTTGTGTGTATGTAATTGTGTGTCTCAGGGCCCCTTCATGCTCGTGAGCAGAACACGTAGGGAGGCAGGCTTCTGGCTGTGGGACCCGGGGGAGCCCTGCCGGGCCCTGGGCCCGTCACGTCCCCAGGAAGGGGTCTTTGCTTATCAGCAAAAACATAACGTGGGTTATCTAAGTCTTTGACATGTTTTCGGCCTCCCAGGGCCTCCGGGGAACGCTGGAACATCCGAAGACTTTGGGAACCTCCAGCCCCGGAGACTTCCAGAGACCCCCGAACCAACTGACCATTCCTGTGTTTAGGAAGTCGTGGGAGTCAGGATGGTGTCTCGGAGGGTTTCTGGGACTGGTCTGGACTGCGATTCTGGACGGAGCGGGTGTAGTAAGAGTCGGGTCCGAGTCGGCCCAGGAGGGTTTTTGGATTCTAGACGACCCAAGCGCGAGCATACCCCCGTGCCCGACTTGAGATCGGCTCAGACGCAACAGGGGTGTGAACTAGTGCCTGTGGCGCTAATTTGGTTAGAGCATGGGGCTTACTCGATTGATATGCCTTCCCATTACCGTTCCAGAATCGCCCCCCAGACCTTCCCAGGGAGCGCGGCTTGACCAGGATTTCGAGGCGGCCCCGTCGTGACAACAGGGAATCTCGAGAAGGTCCCGAAATTGCGAAAGACCCAGACATCGACGCCGTGAGTTTGCTCACAACGTGGCTCCTATATAGGTCTGGACCCTTTCCCGGGGACCGGCTTTTCATCCCTGGGCGTTTCTCGACAGTCCCGGGGCACCGCAAGGACCTTCAGAGGCCTAAAATTGGCAAATACGCTCCATCGCGATTTCTTCGCAACAAGGGGAGGTCCGGGTTCTTTGGCCGCAGGGGGAGAGGGAGCACCTGGGGATGATCGATGCCCGCGCGAGACACCAGGGGGCGTCCAAGAACGGGGCCATGACTAAGGGAGGAAGGGTGGATATCATGGCCTGGAGGCCATCCCATCTCCCTGGATGCCATGGCCCCCTCCTGTCACTCAAGAGGCCTGCGCCATTCCGCCGACCCCCACAAGAGGGATGAAGTCCACGGGCGAGGCCTCTTGGGGATCTTCTGGGAGCCTCTCGTGGAGGGGCCTCTCCAGACCTTTTTGGAAGTTTCTTCGACTGCTGGCGGTCACGGGGGTCCTCCTGAGGCGGAGGGCTGGGAGTATCAGTCCGAGTTGCCTCTCTTGGGACCCTCTTGGGGCCCTGTCGGGGCTCTCTTGGACCATCTTGGGCGCCTCTTGGGCAGTCTTGGGACCCTCTTCGGCCGTCTTGGGGCCCTCTTAGGGGCTTCTTGGCTTGCCGTGGAGCGATCTAGGGGGCATCTTGAGCCGTCTCGGACGCCTTTCAAACCAAACATGCGAACATGCCGGAAACATGCGCTTCCCCTATGGATTTGGGCGAGGATTGCTTCTCTGGGCTCTCTCGGGGTTCGTCTTGGAGCCCTCTTGGGGCGTTCTTTGGGCCCCTTGGGCACCCTTTTGAGGCCATCTTAGCAGTCTTCGAGGACCCCTCGGCGTGTCGGAGCCCACCTCGAGCGAGCTCAGATGGCATCCTGGGCATCCTGGAGGCCACGGGCCCTACACCTTAGGCGATGCTTAAGAAAACCTAAGTTTTCGTCCTGAGTCTCGATTATTCTTAACTTTTCAATGTAAATCCCAAGATTTTGATAGAAGTTCTGGGTTTTCTTTAATTTCTGAGACTATGAATTTCTTAACCCATGATTTCTTAAGCATCTCGCAGGGTGTAGGTTTGGAGACCCTGGAGGCCCTGAGGGTGCGTTCAGGAGAGCGACCGCCCCCCCTGACCCCGCCTCATCAAACGTCAGACTCCTCCAGGGTGGGGGAGAAAGGAGGAAAAGACAGCCAATCCTCTCACACGCCTCTGCACCCCCGGCAAGTGGGGGCCGGCGGATTTCAGCGCACCCCTTGCCCCCCCCCCCCCACTCGTCCGCGCACGTGCCTCGTGCCAGGAGTTGCCAGCCCCCCCGTGCTCTCAAGGGGGGGAGGAGAAGGAGGGGGAGGAGGAGGAGGAGGAGGAGGCGGAGGAGGAGGAGGAGGAGGAAGAAGAGGAGGAACAAGAGGAGGAGGAGGAGGATCTCCTCCTCCCCCCTCCCCTCTGCCTCCTCCTCATCCTCCTCCTCATGCATCCTCCTCCTCCTCCCTCTCCTCACTCTCCTCCGTCCTCTACTCCTCCCTCCTCCTCCTCCTCCTCTCACTCCTCCTCCTGGAGGAGGAGGAGGAGGAGAGGAGGAGGAGGAGGAGAGGAGGAGGTCCGGAGCGCTGCGGCAGCGGCGCGGCCGCGCGCACGCCCGTGGCCAGCTCCCGGAGCTCGCCGTGGAGCTCTTCGCCAGCGGCGGCGGGCTGCCCACGGAGTTCGTGCGCGCGCCCGCCCGAGCCTTCTCGGCCGCCGCGCTCCGCCGGAGGGCCTCGTCTGAAGTCGGGTCGGGAGCCTCGAGACGGGGGTCAATGCAAACGGGGGTCAGCCAGGGCGCCAGATCCTGCAGGATCCTGCAAAGACCCCCTCGGGCTGACCCGGGTTTGGGAGCCGCTCGTGGCCGCCAGGCGGCCGCACATATTGGCTGACCCGGGGTTGCGAAGACCTGCGTTGCAGTTCAAGACAGCCCAAGAGGATTCCAAGACAGCCCCAAAGGGCCCCTGGCTAGCCCAAGAGGCCCCCAAGACGGCCCAAGAGAGACCCAGGACGGCCCCAAGCAGGGGCTCAGAGAGGATGCCCTACGAACATTTCAACCCCTCCACCCTCAGAGGTCCCAAGGAGGCCCCAAGAGGCCCCCAAAACGCCCCCAAGAAGCTCCCTCGAGGCCCCCCAACAGCCCCCTGACCAGACGCCCTCAGGTACTCTTCCTGCCCCCAAAGCTTCTGGACCACTCTTCGCTTCCTGAGGCCCGAACCGGGGCCCGGGACCGTCAAGCATTTACGACGAAACACCGGGCCCATGGAAGCTCTTCGGACTTCGGGCCCATTCCAGGGACCCCACGTTGAACAAGCCACGCTAGCGAATCTTTGACAAGAGGCCCCCGAAGGCGCTCCGAAGAGACCCCAAGAAGCATCCCTGAGAACTCTGACCCACAACCCTGGCATAGTGGTGGGATGTGCCGAAGGCCATTCGATCCATGTACATATACGTACATGCATCCATACTTAGATACATACATACATAATGCTACATACATACCGATCTACGAGGCGCCCAAGATCGCCCAAGAGGGCCCCAAGACGGCCCCAAGAGGGGCTCAAGAGGTGGAACACGAACCGACAATTCGAGCCTTCCGCCCCAAAAGGCTTCCAGGAGACCCCAAGAGGCCCCCAACAGAGCCCAACAGGCCCCCCAGAGGCCCCCTAGATGCTCCACGAGGCCCCAAAGAGGCTTCAAAGAGGCCCCAAAAGAGGCCCCAAGGGCAACCCAAACGGCCCTCAAAAGACCTCCAAAGCATACCGGTGCATAGCAAAAGACCGCCTAGGGTCCCGGACGGCGTCAGAGGCCCTTCAGATCGCTCCAAGACGGCCGAAGAGGCTCCCAAGAAAGCCCAGAGACGGCCCAGGAGGCTCCCCAGATAGTTCAAGAGGGCCTCGACAGCGCCCCAAGAGAGCCCCAAGAGCGACCCAAGAGGGCCCGAAGAGCGCGACATTTCAAGGTCTCCGGCCTGAGAGGCTTCTAGGACGCCCCCTGAGGCCATCCTGTGAGGCTCCCAAGAGGTCCCCCGGAAGCCCCAAGATGCCCCCAAAGGGCTCCCAGGGAAGCCCCTTGCGGGCCCCCAAGACACCTCGGTACGTCGCATTTCCCAGACAGCTTTCCGGGAACATGATTCTTTGGGCTTCCGCCCACCGCCCCAACCATGTTTCCAATAGGCTTGCCGACGAGGCCAAAAAGGGGCCCCTCTTAGGAGAGCCGAACAAATCATGCTCCCGGAAAGCTTCCCGGGAACATGTTTCTCTATCTCGGAGTAGGCCCGGGGGGGGCCGGGCCGTTGCTGTTCCCCCCATCGGTGCCCGCCAGGGGTTGTTGGGGGGATCCAGAGCTCCCGAGGCGGCCCGGGCCCGAGGCGGCCCGGGCCCGCCCCGAAACAGGCCACGACATGCTAAGGGGATCCCGAGAGGGCCCAAGACGCTCCCAAGAGGCCCCGAAGACGCCCAAGATGCTCTCAAGACGGCCGACGAGGACTCCAATTCGCTCAAGGACGGACTCGAGAGGCTCCTCAAGGCCCTGGGAGGCAAGATTCACTCATTTTCCGAGTGTTTTGGATTTGGGCGTTCTCGCTTTTCCCGCTTCCCAGCACTCCCTCACGGCCTTGGAGGCGTCACGGCCCACGAGGCCCCGAAGAGCGCCCAAAGACGGCCCAGCAGGCTCCCCAGACGACCCAAGTGTGCCCCAAGAGAAGGCCCAGAGGGGTCCCGAGGCGGCCCGGGCCCGCCCCGAAACAGGCCACGACATGCTAATGGAGGTCCCGAGAGGGCCCAAGACGCTCCCAAGAGGCCCTGAAGACGCCCAAGATGCCCTCAAGAGGGCCGACGAGGACTCCAATACGCTCAAGGACGGACTCGAGAGGCTCCCCAAGAGGGCCCTGGGAGGCAAGATTCGCTCATTTTCCGATGGTGTTTGAAGGAGTTTGGCGTTCTCGCTTTCCACGGCCTCGGAGACCCTTCAGATCGCTCCAAGACGGCCCACGAGGCCCCGAAGAGGGCCCCAAACCGCCCAGGAGGCTCCCCAGACAACCCAAGTGTGCCCCAAGAGCTTCTCAAGAGGGGGCCCAGAGGGGGACCGCCAACCGATATTTCGATGTCTCTGGCCCTAGAGGCCGCCAGTAGGCCCCCAGAGGCTACCAAGAGGCTCCCACGAAGCCCCGTGAGGCGCCCAAGAGTTCCCCAGGAAGCCCCAAGAGACCCCCAAGGGGCTCCCAGGGAACGCCCAAAAGGCCCGCCAACACACCCCAAGAAATCATGTCCCCAGGAAAGCCTTCCGGGGACATGGGTTCATCATGGGCCCGCGAGTTCCCAGAGGCCCCCAAGGGGCGCCCAGGGAGCGCCCAAGAGGCCCCCCAACACACCCGAACAAACCATGTCCCCAGGAAGCCTTCCGGGGACATGGTTCATCGTGGGCCCGCGAGTCTCCAGAGGCTTCGAAGTACCATCATGCTACAGGAGAGCTGTCTGGGAAGTTGAATGGGAACATGACTGATCGCCCTCTCGCGGCCCTCCGCAGATCGTTTCGCGCAAAGTGCCCTCTTGGACCGACGACGGCGACGACGACGACGACTACGAAACGACGAAGACGAGGACGAAGACGAGGACGACGACGACGACGACGACGACGACGACGACGACGACGACGACGACGACGACGACGACGGCGCGCCCCAAGAGGCGACGACGACATTACGACGACGACGACGACGACGACGGCTGCACGCCCCAACAGGCTCCCCTAAGACGCCCCCAAAACCCATGCTGCCAGAAGGCCTTTGGGAGCCCGATTCATCCGGCCTCCGCCCCCCTACGCAACTATTTTCCCGGAAGCCGTTCGGAATGCGGGTTGGCATGCGTGGATTGTGGTCCATTACTTCAGTGGAGCAGTGAATTCGTCAAGGCCTGGGGCCTGCTAGAACCTGAGCTCGCGCGAAGCGCGCGCGATGGTTCTAGTATATATAATATAAAATAATGTTTGCATATATATATATGTATATATATATATCCAGCGCCGATTCAAGAGATGCTCGCGGAGCTCCAAGAGAATGTGTGTTTATGCCGTCGTTTCCTGCTCTGTGCCTCTCCGCTTCGCTGGGTGCACGTCTGGAGCACGTCAGGGCTGGTCGTTGAGTGGTTTGCCTTGCTCGTCTACCGCGCTGTTCTGCCGTGTTGTTTTGCCCGCCCTGTGGCGCTGCCAGCGCCACGGGTGGCGGATGCGCCGCCTCCCCGTTTCAGCGTTGGGGCGAGCGTGCAAGTGTCCTCGAGGGCATCGAACATTCACCGCGTGTCAGCACAAGGCAACGCCAAGTTCAAACTCCGATAAGCGTAACAACACGGAGCCATTCGTAGAACTACAATTCCACAGGTTTCTTGGTGGAGGCCTCTTGGGGGCCCTCGGGGCCTCTTTGAGGCCTCTTGAGGCCTTTGGGGGGCCTCTGGAGACGCTCTTGCGCCGTCTGGCCCCTTCGGAGGCCGTCTTGGGGGGCCCCTCGGGGCTGCCTCGTGGCTCTCTTGGGGTCCTCTTGGGCCGTCTTGGGGGCCTCTTGAGCCGTCTTGGGGGCCTCGTCGGGTCATCTCGGGGCCCTCTTGGTCCGTCTTGAGGTCCTCTTGAGGCCCTCTTGAGGGCCTCTGGGACCGTCTTGCGGCCATCTTGGAGGCTGCTTGGGCCGTCATGGGCCTCCGAGAGTCGCAAGAGGCGAGATCTCGAACAGATGGCGAAGCCCTCCAGAAAATCAATGCCTTTGGGCTCCTCAAGCGCTCTTGGGCCCCCCCTGGGGGGCACTCTGCGGCCGTCTCTGGGGCCGTCTCGAGGCCCCCTCTGGGGCCGTCTTGGGGCCATTTTGGGCCATCGTTAGGCCGTCTTGGGCCGTCTCAAGGCCATCTTGAGCCGTCTTGAGTCCCTCTTGGCCTCCCAGGAGGCCCTAGAGGCCGATATCACACAGGTTCCATACGTTTTGCTTCGCAACTGGGCCCCACAAGGGGGGTTGTTATCTTGGTCCGCCGAAGTGGCGTGACTCCGGCGGGGGATTAGGAGGGGCACGCACTAATGCTTAAGAATGCAAGGTAGCAATTACATAAAAGCTTGACATATTGGACACGTTGCATTAAGGCGCTCGTCGAAAAACGCTGCCGCTCAGCACCTTCCTTCGGGACGTGAATTCATCTGGCTTGCGCAATTCCGCCGACCCCCAAGGTTGGGCCTCTTGGAGGGCTCTTGGGGGCATCTGGGGGTCTTTTCGGGCCTTCTTGAGTCCATTGGGCGCTTTTCGGGAGCCTCGTGGAGGCTTCTTGGGGCCTATCGGGGGCGCCTCAGGGCCTCGCCCGACATAATGTTACTTCTCCCTCGGACCTCCGACTTCGCAACTTTGTTCACAGCGCGGTCCTCCAGAAGTCTGGAAAGCACTCCCAGGGACCAGCTCCTGCCCTGCCCTCCCCGGAGGGGGCGGGTTGAGTGGTTTCGTGGGGTGGGGGGTAGCCTTGCTCGGGTCTTCCCATGTTAGGACACCCCCGCGCGGGAATGCCTTTCATCACTCTTCCTTCTCTCCGCCCCTCCACCGCGACCCTCCCGCACGACCCCCTGTGCTTGGTCGAAGGGCCCACAAGGTTCCATTGACCAGCTTTGCATCCTGAGCCATTTTTTGACGGCCCAAGAGCCCGGCAAGGGTCCCTGGAGTCCGAAAGGACAACAGATTGGCGCGTCG